TTGAACTTGCGCAGGTAGCCCTCGTCCTTGAGCATGATGCGGTCCCACTGCCCGAGCGCGTCCTGCTGCTCTGCCGTGCCGCCAAACAGCAGCGCCGAAAACACGTGCTCGTCGAGCGTTTTCGCCAACACGCCCTGCGCCACGAACGCGCGCTGCCGCGCGTCCTCGAGCAGTGCATCCCAGCTGCTGCCGCGCGTCCCGTCGAGAGGGTCCGGGCAGGCAATCTCCCCGGCATAATAGATAAACGCCGGCGAGAGATCCGCGGCGGCCCAGGGACTCTGTGCCGGTGCGGTGGCGCCCGGCTGCAGGACGAGACGGTCGACGCCAAACGTGGACGCGCACAAGTCTTCGGACAGCTCATAGAGCGTGCTGAACAGCACCTCGAACCATGCGTCGTCCTTCTTGCGGCCGGCCGTGTGCGGCATGCCGAACCACAGTCGCAGCGGCCGGTAGCCAAGAAGATCGTGCGGCAGCGCGACGGGGCGGCGCTTGTTTCTGTCCTCCGCATCGCGTGGCTCCCACCAGCGCTCGCCAAGGCCCAGGATCTCAGTGGTCTCGCGGGTAAACGTCGGGTAGAGTCGCTCTTGAAACCGTGTCGGGTCCGGGTTGACGTCAGACTCGGCGGCCATGCCGGGCATGGCGGCTGCATGCGTCTCGGCGACTGTTGTCATCGTAGAAAGCTGCTCGTAGGGTTGCTGTGGCGTGTTGTAGATTGCTGGAGAGTGGTGTTTTGACGATCTGTTTTAAAGTAAAAGATGCATATTGTGCGTTGTAAATAAAGGGCTTTAAAACAAGCTGGCACAGAACGGTCTTTTTCCGCCGCTCCCAGTCGTATCCACGCTGTTCCCAAAACAGCTGCATAGATGAGTCTTGTCGAATCAGGACAGCATTCTCGTTCGGTGCTGTCCCTTGCAGACAATACCATGAAAGAAGTGTTGGCTCTGTTGGACAACAAAGAAAGCCGCTTTGGGCATTTGCATCCCTTCACAGTCTGTTGGCATCGAGAGACAGTGTCAGTGAATGGTGAGATAGAAGAATAGCGATTTGTTAAAAATAAAATGAATAGAAAGAAACTTTCTTGTAAAGCAGAAGAAATATGTTGTAAGAGGTCACTTTATTTTATGTGTGATTTCCGGGTAGTAGTGAGCCTTTATGACCTATAATCATAGAGGGTTTCTTGGTTTTTATTTCTTTTTGAAAAAGGACTGGAAATGATTAAGTAAACTAATGAAGATCAGTAGATATACTGTCATGAGACGTCCGTCTCTTGTCTGGAGTCTATCCAAAGAATGAAGCCCTTCACTTCACACCAACTTTCCTACACAAAATCTACAGTGTCCCTCCACATTTCGACCAAGAGTCACACAAACCCAAAAGCAGTCTTATAAAATCCACAAAATCCAGAACAACTACGAATATTATTATCAGAAATTGATCATCCCGCGAAATGTCAAAAGGTGACCTATTCATATGCCGTACCTCTTATAACCAGTGACAAGCTGTCCATTCTTGCCTAATATTCCAGGCATCAATTGTCGCAGCTGCGATGTAGAGCCTAGCTTCCGTACGCGCCCCACTATACAGCGCTAAATTGCCCCCTGTCACCACGCGCAAAGAACATTAAAAATTAAATATATCTTTTTTTTTCTTCGGCGCCACCACCACAAAACCACGAAACCACCGCCAGGCAATCCAGCCAACCACAGACCATCATCTGCAACATCGTCCAGTCCGAAACTTTTCTCGCTTCCTTTTGACTCCTCTGTCATCTCCACACGATAGCATCGCATCACGCACCACCGCCCAACGCACCCGCTTTGACTCTTTGCCCGGTGCAAACAGTCATTCGCACTTGCTGTCTCCTCTCGCCCCTCTCCGCTATTCTCTCCGGCCGCGCCTTCCCTCCGCGACCGCCTTGTACTGCGTGCAAGAGCCAACCGCCTTCCCGCAGCTCGCGCGACACTTCCTTCCCTGGCAACCAGCGCACTCCTGCCTGCTGTCTTTGTTGTCTTTGTTGTCTTTTGACGTTACCCAGTCATCTCGCGTCACGACTGTTTCTCACCTTTACCCGTCTCTCCTCTTCCCTCAACGTCACTTTTCGATCATCTCGACTTGCATCACGCGCCTCCCACGCCCAACTCTTCAAACCACACAAATTACACAACCTACAAATCCGACATCATGGCACAAGTCGACCTCACCACCATCCCCATCTCGCCCGAAGGAGGCAACGTCGCCGCCGATGCTGCCGACTCCAAGATCGACGACATCACCGTCTTCCACGACAAGGAGAACTTTACCGTCAAGCACCCGCTCATGCACAGATGGACCCTTTGGTTCACCAAGCCCGCAAGCGGGAAGGTGGGTCTACGGCCTTTGGAAGGCAGCGCCTGCTTATCCTCACGAGATCACCTGCTGACACACAGGATAGGGCGACAACTGGAACGACCTGCTGAAAGAAGTTATTACCTTCAACTCGGTTGAGGAGTTCTGGGGTATCTATGTACGTCTACTGCCACCGTCTTTGGCTTCTTTGGTTTCTCTCACGTTTGTCTCGGCTTCAACACTGACCTCCCCCCCCCCGCCTGTACAGAACAATATTGCCTCGGTCTCGGAGCTGGCCCTCAAGTCCGACTACCACCTGTTCAAGGAGAACGTCCGCCCCGAGTGGGAGGATGCCCAGAACAAGCACGGCGGCAAGTGGTCCTACTCCTTCCGCGACAAGCGCAACGTCGACATTGACGAGATGTGGCTGCACACCATGCTCGCCGCCATTGGCGAGACCCTCGAGGGCGAGGACGACGACGAGGTCATGGGTGTCGTCGTCAACGTCCGCAAGGCCTTCTTCCGCATCGGCGTCTGGACCCGCACCATTGGCAAATCGATCCCCGGCCGTGGTGACGGCGACACCGCCGGCGGCAAGGGTCGCTCCCCCGAGAAGGCCCGCGACATCCTCATGGCGATCGGTCACCGCTTCAAAGATGTCCTCAAGCTGCCTGCCAACGAGCAGCTCGAGTTCTCTGGCCACCTCGACGCACAACACAGCGGCAGCACACGAGCCAAAGCCAAGATGGTGGTTTAAGGAAAGGGTTGGTGCGGTGGGATGAGAAGCATGGAGATATACGGATGGTAATGGGAGGAGTGTGGGGATGTTGTCTTACACATCAAGGTGACGAACCCATTCCGTACAATGGGATGGTTGGCAGTGCAAGACAGGCGTACAGCGAGACTCCCTGGGTCTGGCCCACACCCTGTCTTGTCGTCTTTGTCTCTCGACTACGTCACGGTCCGATGTTCGATCCATTTGTGCATCGCGCACGCTATATATTTTACGGGATTTTGAGGACCAGAACGGAAATACGGACAAGAACCGAGAAACGGGAAACGGAAAGAAGGAAACGGAAAAGAAAATTAAAATCCTCTGCCAAAAAAAAGAAGAAAATCGACCTTTCTTCGCGCTGCAACACCTTTGATTCCCGGACTGCCTTTGGACTGCCTTTGTACCTTGCCTTTGCTTTTTTGTCAAGTATATGGGGTGCCTGATTTGGTCTTTGATTTCGGGAATGGGTTTTCGTTTTATGCTGGCTGTTGCTGGCTGTCTATTTCCTATTTTTCTGTTGCGTCGCGAGGGCAGAGGCACAAAAGCATTACTGTGATATGATGCCACCAGAGATTGTTGGTGTTAGCAGGCGGACGTTCTGCCAAAGCACAGTTGAACAAACAAAATGAGAAACGGGGAACTTGGTATGAACGCTGTGCTCTGCATTGTTGAATGTGAATGATCCATTGGCCTTGTGTGCATGTCGGTGACTTCCACGACACACAGTTATCAGTTGCCCTCTACAAGCTACAAACTCACGAACAATTCCATTGAGTTCTCTGGCCGTCTCTCAAACCGTAATATCTATGTGCCATCGTTTCTCTCTCTCCGCCAAACGAGACAATAAGAAAGCGTCTGCAATCCTAGCTGCCCCTTCGCTTGATTTGCTGGGGGGTTGTCTTCATGGCATGGCCTGTTTGTTGTAGACCCCTGGCATCTTTCTCTTAACACCGATTCCGGCATACGACGGAATGCGGAATATACGCTCTCCTTGTTACCCCAGAATTACCACCCCGGAATCCCCCACTCTCTGAGATGTTATTTAGGGAAGGAGATAGCGACAGATCGGCAAGTGACGTACAGAAGGTAGCTGGGAAGGGACGCGAGCAGGTGCAACTACGGCAGGAACTACGTATTGGTCTCTTACGGTTCCCTACACATATGGTGTTCTCTTGATCCAGCACGTGTAATTCTTCATCCTCACCTGCCGACCTAAGCTCCCGAAGCTCTCTGGCCCCTTCTTAATTCAGCGGCATCGCTAGTGTGGGATACACGCGACCTCGTCTTGCGGGGAAGGGGCGGAGAGTACGTATGTTCTTTCCTGTCCGAGCTAAACTTCCTTCTTGCCTCTGATGATCGACGCCGATAAGCGGTGTTTATGGCAACTTCCTTGTGCATGGCGCCCCATAGCGCTATGCACCTTTGTATCACGTCTCTATGTAGTTCCTTGACCTCGACGTTTGACCCAAACCAACGAACCTCCCTTTCCATCCCGCTCCTCTTCTTTGCCCATCGCTATCCACCACTACCCATCGGCGATACCACGATGTTGACAAATGGGGAGACGACGTGGAAACGAGACGACTATCAACGACAGGGCTGTTTGCAGTTACACACAGTTGTATACATCGGGTACGATGGCCGGCATCTATCTATCTACGTCGACCTATCAGCATAATGGAGACGACGGACCTGCCACCAACCTCTCGGGGTTTTGAATCTTTTAATATTTAACACTTGTGTTCCACTCAACATTCTCCTCCAGCGTCAAACAGGACTACGTCACCTCTGGGCAACCCTTGTGCTCTCGTTTTATTCCCATATTTGCTTGTAACTATTCCAACTATCCACCATCAACTTTCTTGCCTTTCCTCCACTTCTGTCTCTAGACACCTTGACGATGGCGGACCTCGAAAAGACGGCGTCGGCCCCGGCGCTCGCAGTCGAAAACAACGCAAAAATCGGCAGCGTCGCGACCAACCCGCCCAAGGGCAGCCATTCGGGCCTCAAGCACGCAGACACGAACAATGCCGACGCGGCCCTCCTCTTCTCCCAGGCACACGCCGCCGACGCGGTCGCGTTGACACCGGAACAGGAACGACGGCTGCTGCGCAAGATTGACTGGAACCTGATGCCGCTGCTGTGTATAGTCTACGGCCTCAACTTCCTGGACAAGACAACCGTGTCGTACGCTTCGGTGATGGGGTTCAAGGCGCACAGGGGATACCCCCCCCTCCTGCCCCCCCCCTCCTCTCCCCCCGACTTACCCCCAGTACTAACAAACCAGGACGACGTCCATCTCATCAACCAGGATTACTCCTGGGTGGCCAGCATGTTCTACTTTGGCTACCTCGTCTGGGAGTGGCCAACAAACTACCTCCTGCAGCGGCTGCCGCTGGCCAAATGGTCGGCGGCCAACGTCATCGCGTGGGGCATCGTGTTGTGCTGCATGGCCGCCGTCAACAGCTTTGCGAGTGCCATGGCCGTGCGGTTCCTTTTGGGCGTGTTTGAGGCCGCTGTCAGCCCCGGGTTTGCCCTCTTCACGTCGCAGTGGTACACAGTGAACGAGCAGGGCTCCCGCGTCGGCATCTGGTTCGCCTTCAACGGCATCGGGCAGATTGTCGGCGGCTTCGTCGCGTACGGCATTGCCGTCGGCACGAAAAGCCACCCTCTGGCGGGCGGCAACCTGCACTCGTGGCAACTGCTGTTCTTGGTCATTGGCCTTTTCACGGCCGCGGTCGGCGTTGTCTTTCTGTGGATCATGCCCGACAACCAAATGAATGCGCGGTTCCTGACCGAGGAGGAGCGCATGCAGGCGATTGAGCGCATCCGGGTCAACCAACAGGGCATTGGCAACAAAAACTTCAAGATGTACCAGCTCAAGGAGGCGCTGACGGACCCGGTGGTGTGGGCGCTCGTGTTTTATGGTCTTGTGGCCGACATCCCAAACGGCGGCATCACCAACTTTTTTTCGCAGCTCATTGTGTCGTTTGGCTTTACAAACGAGCAGTCCCTGCTGCTGGGCGCCCCCGCCGGCCTGATCGAGGCGGCTGCACTGGCTGGCTGTGGCATTCTGGGCGACCGCCTTCACAACCGGCTGCTGGTCAGCATTGCGGGTGTGGCGGCGTCGTTTATCGGCATGCTGCTGGTGGCCGTGCTCAACAACTCGCCGGGGCAGCGCATCGGCCGCCTGATAGGATGCCTTTTGATGCAGATGAGCCCGACGTCGTTTGTGGCGCTGCTGTCCCTGATTGCGACCAACATTGCGGGCTGGACAAAGAAGACGACGGTGGCGGCCATGTACCTGATTGCGTACTGCGTGGGCAACATCATCGGTCCGCAGGTGTTCCGGGCCAAGGACGCGCCCGACTATCGGCCGGCTGAGATTACAATCCTGGTGTGCTACGCGCTGTGTATTGTGGACGTCTTGTTTATCTACTTTTGGTGGCGGCGGCAGAACGCGCTCAAGGTGCAGGCGCGAGCCGCGCCGGGTTACCGCAAGGTGATGGGGCAGGAGTTTTACGACCTGACCGACCGTGAGAACCCAGAGTTCAACTATGCTCTGTAGCTGTAGAGGGGTCGGGTACATTCGAAAGACATGTTGCACGTTGCTTTAACGTTGGTCGCGTGCTGTTTGATATTGGACGTTGAAGAAACCTACCTAGAGTGACGCCACTAGCAACCGCCGGCTCCACCGAAGATCAGTGGTCGCGACGACAATCGTTGGCGTCTTCTTCAAACTTGTGTTTCCTCTTACTTCCTCTGGCTTGTGAAATAGACGAGAACGTAGGAGAAAGACAACGGCAATGTGGTCGGTAGCAAACTTTCGCAACCGAAGTCGATGGAGTCGTCGCGAACACGTATATCATGACAAGCAAAAGAACATGCATATCAGCATACACTGTTTGACAAGGCGAAAGGTAAAGGAATGGATATGCCCAAGTACAAAAAAAAAATGAAATAAAAACGCTGTATCCAATTAAGAAGAGACAACCCGCAGGCGCACACAATATCGGTGCGCTTCATCGGCACCCATCACTTGGAAGGTGGCAAATGCGACTAGGTCACTGATATTTTCGTAGTCGACATTCAGCACTATGGAAAATATTGCTTGTAAGTGTGCTTGTAAGTGTGCTTGGGCCATGCTGAGCGCGATGCGGATCGTCTAAGGCGGCGACGATGGCTTTATCAGATCATGTTGTTGTCCATCCAATTCCAACCAGGCTGGAATCGTCGAAGAGTGAGCATAAACCTTTTCAAAATAAATATTAGTTTTATTCAAATCTTGTTGGGAGGCAAACACCGAAAAATGAAACGAAGACAACCACTGGAAACGGAGAGAGCCCACCAAACAGGACTCAAATCCACACAATCTCATAACCGCTGACAACGTTCGTTCATCGCTGTATTCGCCGGCACCTCTTCTGGCCCCGTCGCTGGTACGGGGTTGCTCAGCTCATTCAGTGTCGATCTCCCGTCACTCAACTGGGTTTTCGTCATTGGAGTGTTTTTTGCGCCTCGAGATCTCGTGATACCTTTGTCACCGTCCCTCCCTGCCCTTCATTGCTATTGTCGCTCGTCGACGCTGATGCCGTTCTCGGGCCCGGGATAAAAATAATGACAAAAAGAGGCGGTTGTTTCCTTCCCACTCAACAGGTTTGTCATTGCCAAAAGAGGTGCATTGCATATGCTCGATGCGGAGTGCATGTGCTGAAATATGCCGGCCGCTGCATTCTGTTGGAGATGCAACGGCCTGCAGAGAAGGGGGCGTGAGCAATGCAAAATGGACAAAAAGAGGAGAAAATTTCCGGTAAAAGTTTGGTAGTGTGAGCGAGGACGTTAACAAGTGAGGCAATGGTTGCGTTGCGTGGCATTGCACGACCAATAGCCAGTGATTGCAACGGTCGCAGCATGGGTGGTGGGTGTACTGCGGCTCGTTGTGATTGACCAACGTGCAGCTAAACCATGGGCATTCGGCCATCTGCCACCGGAAGAGTGCTCCGTCCCGCACCGGCACTGAGAAGAAAGCGACGGCCAAGAGGACGAAATATGGGATATCTCCGCCTCGCTCTGGACCATTCTGTTTTGAGTGCTTTAGATACCTTATTGTCTCGTCAAATTTGCGAAGGCGATCGAGGAAGGAATAAAATACATCACCCGTCGTTGAGAGTGGGAGGCATATTGCATGACATAAAGAAGTCGCAAGGACAACTCAGCTCCTCGGCTTTTGCCAGGTCGTATTGTTGAGAAGTGGATGCTGCATTTCCGTATTAGTTGCCTGCAGCTCGTTCGTCGGCTTACTACGTCACGGCATCGTACAGAGGCGAACGTGTTCCGCCGACGGCTCCAGACCTGCAGAAATTTTCAAGAACGTCTTAATTTTCTCTGTAGCTGGATCAGAGAGCACGCGGCCAATGAAGACCCTCTCTTGCCCCTATTGTCCTCCTCAAGGAGCCGTAAATTATCAGTATTCGGGGCCTCAGGACCTGTTGGGCAAGTCGAGACCTTTTGGTATCCAGATTCCACGAACAGGAGGAACGCTAAAACGACTGGGGAGCGGAAACTGGGGCTTGGAGAAGCTGGAGAAACTTTGATGGTCGACTAATACCACGGATCTGCATCTGGTCTGGTTGGCGGATTACCCAAAACGGCAATCCGCAGTTAAAAGGAAGCTGCACCAGCACAAGAGCGGCGAGAGATACTACTCCGTACCTCGTAGATGCAATACGTCGTAGACGTAAAATGCGAGAAACACCAAGGGAGGGGTCCGGTTGACTAGTTGTTCGCGACAGACTATTGTGTCCAGTCCGTCACGTCTGCACCAAGTACGCACAACGAACTGGCTCGGAAGAATAAAGGACGAAGCCACTGCCCTCGTGTCGTAGTCCGCAATGTCGGCGCAGCTAATTTTTTATGTTTTGAGCTGCCATGATGCTAGCTGTCTGGGCTCTGCTCCGCCATGCATTTCGGGTTGCCGGGATTTTGCACCTGTCTCTTTTGTTAGTCTCGGTCCTTCTATTTTGACTTTTCTTTGCGTCATTTCCGGTGCGTGCACTCAATAAGGGTCCGGTATGTGAAATACAGTCTGTTTGATGCTGAGCAACAAGCTCGATGTGGAGCGGCACGCGGCCTTTGCATCTGTACATCGTACTCTGCATGCTGTGCCATCGCATTGCAGCGTGCATGTACACATTGTGTGCGGTGAGCGTCTGGACTTTGTATGACCACAATAGGCAATGGACACCTGCACCACCACCCAACCATCCAACTGCGTTATGTGGGAGCCGGGTTTTTGATACGCCCAGGCTTGAAGCCACAACCACAACCACAGCCCATGTTTCAATTGACGCGGTCGTGTCTTCCGCTCAGGACGACATCCTTTGGAACCTGCTCGTCCTGCCGCCGGATGGTTTCTGCACGACATTGGGCCACGATGAGGCCAGAGGATGATCACAGAAGCCGTGAGTCTCGCATCCTGCTGCATCATCGGATGCACTGCGCAAAGGCCAGAGCCGGCATAGTCGACTTTGTTGTTATTTCTGGTCTTTTTTCCGGCTGTCGTGCCTCCTGCTTGTGGCGCCAAGATTCAAGAGAGAGGACGGGAGGGGGAGGCGATATGGATGGAAATAGTAGCCCGTAGGCCGTAGGCTGGTGACTAGCGCACGCTGTGGGTGTGAAGTGAGATGAGCAGACCCAGACTCCAAAGATGCAGAGAAGAAGTGAAGCTAATTGGGACGAAGGGGTGAGAAACAGGGAGTAGGGGAGGGGGGGTGTAAGGTGCGGAGAAAAGTGTGGAGGTGGTGAGGAGCAGCTTCGCTTCCCATCCTGTCCATGACATCCATCGTGCCTTCCTTCTTTGAGATACTCCGGTTGTGCTTGCCACGCCTGTCGCGCGCCGCGTTCACTGCCCTAAGCATTTGGCATTCCCGACCATTGTTCTTTCCGTTGATGCAATTATTTTAACTAATATTTTTTCTTGCCCTTTGTAGAAGGAGCTTGCGTGTCTCAGCACACCAGCCCAGACCCGCCTTCCCTTTTGGTGCATCCCTCGTCAACTCTTCCCCCGAGACCTCTGTCACTCCTGCCGTACTTACATCGCACTTCCTTTTCCAGGGCTGCTGCTTGTGTTCTTTCCGAAAGGAAACTATAAAGCCATCTTTGTGCCCTTTCCCCTTTCCTTTGCTTCGTTCCTTCCCTCTCTCCTTCTTAAGCGTGTTTCTCAGCATCCCCAACATCCCAAACAGAAACTACCCGTCTTCAGCAACCTTCACGAGACATACTACTCGACAGCTGCCCTCCATCCACACTCACCTGGTCACACTCTTATACTCTCACATTTTCACAAAATGGCCTCTCCAGTAAGACATCTTCTTTGCGTCGCAACACGCACTCCCTTCTCGGCAATGCGTCCGATGGCTGCTTCGGCTTTGGGCGCGGCCCCTGGCCGGCTTTTCCGACGGCAGTCTCAGCCGACGTTTGCGACCCTGACTAACAAACAGGTGTTGCCCGAGTTCAGCCTCAAGGACAAGGTGGTCGTGGTGTCGGGTGCTGCCCGTGGTCTGGGTCTGGTGCAGGCCGAGGCGATCCTGGAAGCCGGTGCACATGGTACGTCTCGCGTTCGCGCTTGGTTGTGATTTGCGATCGACGCCGTCTTTAAACGTTTTCTTTTTTTTGTGGTCTAACTTCCATCTAGTCCATGCCCTCGACCGCCTGCCCGAGCCGTCACCCGACTTTGCGCGCGTGGCCGAGAAGGCCAAGAGCCTTGGCTCATCGCTGACCTACCACCGTGTGGACGTGCGCGAGGAGGAGAAGCTCAACGACCTGATCAAGGGCATTGCCGACCAGCACGGCCACCTGGACGGTCTGGTGGCGGCGGCAGGCATCCAGCAGGAGACACCGGCGCTGGAGTACACCGGCGCAGACGTGGACAAGATGATGGCAACCAACGTGACGGGCGTGTTCCTGACGGCACAGGCGGTGGCGCGGCAGATGGTGCGGCTGGGCCAGAAGAAGGGCAGCCTCGCGCTGATTGCAAGCATGAGCGGCACGGTGGCGAACCGGGGCCTGATCTGCCCGGCGTACAACGCGTCCAAGGCGGCGGTGATCCAGCTAGGCCGCAACCTGGCATCGGAGTGGGGCGAGTACGGCATCCGGGTGAACACCATCTCGCCGGGCTACATTGTGACGGCCATGACGGAGGCGCTGTTTGACAAGTACCCGGAGCGGCGGTCGGACTGGGCCAACGGCAACATGCTAGGGCGTCTCAGCACGCCGGACGAGTACCGGGGTGCGGCAGTTTTCCTGCTGAGCGATGCCAGCAGCTTCATGACGGGCAGCGATCTGCGCATCGATGGTGGCCACTGTGCGTGGTAAGTGATGGTTCAGTGGAATGCGGTAGATGGCGATTCGAGGGGCTTGAGGGACTGACTGGGCTGGCACATTTGATTTGCATGTTTACGACTGCGTTGCTTTTCGTTGCCTTTCTGTAGAAAATACGGCGGTAATAATGAGACTCTATTCGAAACAGAGCGAAATACGTATGAACGGGGAACTTCCAAAAAGAGACTGCCGCAATGGAGTAAACCGCAAAAATAAACTCGAATCCAGTATGCCCGATACCTATGCCAACAATAAATGGGGAAAAAAGAAGAATGTGGTAAGAGAAACAACTTTTGTATAGCCGCGCCGTGAAATTACTCGTCTTCCTCTTCGTCATCGTCGCTTTCGATGTCCTCGTCATCACTCTCCAACTCGATTTCCTCCTCATCCTCATCCTCCTCCTCCTCCTCTTCCTCCTCTTCCTCCTCTTCCTCCTCTTCCTCCTCTTCCTCCTCTTCCTCCTCCTCGCCGTTGTCCTCGTCCAGCCGCGCCGCTTGCAGCTGCTTCTTCTCCTCCTGCCGCCGGGCGTCCTCCTGCTTGCGCGTCTCCTCCAGCACACGCTGCCGCTCGGCGCTCGCCTTGCGCTGGGCAACGACAAAGGCGCCGACGGGGGTCTTTTGCCAGTCAAAGTCCTTGAGGAAGGCGTCGACCTGGGTGCGGTCGCGCGGGGCAAAGGTGACGTGGGCGCGCTTGGCCTCGATGAAGGCGGCGTTGGCTTCGAGCTTCTGGACGACGAGCACGAGGCCGCTGACGACCTTGTTGTTGAGCTGACGGCCGTTCTTGCCGCCGCGCTTGCGGGCGTCCTTGATCCAGCGCTTGAGCATGATGACGACGGGCAGGGCGAACTCGGGGAAGGCGATGCTGGTGGCCCAGAGCGCAAAGTACTCGGACAGCAGCTCGACGACCTGCTCGCCGACGGCGGTCTGGTAGACGGTGGTGTGCAGCAGCGACTTGGGGGCCTTGTAGGCGACGGCAAAGTCGAGCTGCTTCTCGGTGCTGATCTTGGCGGCCTTCTTCATGTCGGCCGAGTTGAGGACCTCGAGCAGGACGGGGGCGAGCGGGATGTAGGTGCCGGTGGCGCGCGAGACGCGCAGCAGCGACCGGAATAGCTGGAAGCGCAGCGGGAAGTAGGCGGCGGTCGGGATGAGGCGCATGGCGCCCAGGGTGACCTGGACAAGCGGGTACACGAGCAGCTTCAGCTGGCTGTCGTCGCCGCCGCCGCTGCCGGCAGCGGCTGTGGCCGTGGGGCTGCAGTGCTCGGCCAGGACGCACGACCAAAAGTCGAGCGAGTGGACGTACTGCCAGTTGTAGACGTTGCGGAACGCGTTGTTCTGGTTGTGGACGATGCTGTTGCGCAGGTGGATGGCCAGCTGGCGGATGGAGGCGAAGGCGGTGGTGTAGCCGATGGCTGGGTCGAGGCCCCACAGCTCGGCGGCGGAGTTCTTCATCAAGTTGATGCCGGCAATGGTGTTGGAGTTGGTGGCGCGGCTGCCCTGGACGAGGCCCTGGTAGGTGGCCTTGAGCACGGACTCGCGCACGCCCTTGTCGCCAATGACCACGAGGCGGCGCAGCACCAGGAAGGCAGTGATGCGCGTGGTCTGGCTGCTGGCGGGCTGGGCCCAGAAGCCGACGACGGACTTGACGAGCTGCTTGAGCACCTTGCGGAAGGACAGCAGGTACGGCAGCAGCGGCGTCAGCGCGGACAGGGTCAGCTTGAGGGTGCCGTCGTCGGACAGGGTCGAGAGCAGGTGCAGAACCGACGAGGCAAAGCTGCGGATGAGGGCAGACAGGGCCTTGAACTTTTTGCTCTCGGTCTGGACGTAGACGCGGTGGGTGGAGGACTCCTTGACGGGGATGTGGTGCTGCAGGACGAGCGGGACGTGCTTGAGGGCGACGACCAGAATGTCGTGGAAGACGTTGGGGCTCTTGATGGCGAAGCGCTGCGAGAGCGAGGCGGCCTCGTCGGCATCCTCGTTGAGGTGGGCGGCGCAGCGGAACGCAAGGACGGCCTGGCGGGCCGCACGCAGCGAGAAGGATTCCGCCATGGACGCCTCCCACTTGGCGATCATGGGTCGCGTGAGCTCGTTGTCGCGAGGTGCCGCGGCCTTGGCCGCCTTCTGCTTCTTTCTGGGCCGTTTGGCGTCCTCGTCGTCCTCATCGTCCTCGTCGTCTTCGTCTTCGTCGTCACCACCACCCAGGCCGCTCAGATCGGCGTCCTCGTCAAAGTCGAGCGCCTCCGGGTCGTTTTCCTTCAAGAACTTGTAAAACTCGGGATCCTTCTCGGCCAGGGCTTCCATGGCCTCCTTTGTCATGCCAATGTCGGCCGCGTCCAGGTCCAAGTTGTCGTCCTCGTCGCTGTCGTCGCTCGGGGCCACGGCGTCGTACTCGGGCTCGTTCTCAGAGTCGGAGCCGCCGCTGGCTGACGCACTGTCATCCTCGCCTGCGGCTGCCGCACCGTTGCGTTTCCGCTTGCCGAGCTGTGCCTTCGTGTCCGCCTTTTCCGCCTTGTCCTTGCCCTTGGCCTTCCCCTTGCCCTTGCCGCCCTCCTCCTTGTCGAGGATCTGGAAGCCGCCCTGGAAAAAGTCGTCCACGCTCATCTCGCTGACCTTGGCGTCCGGCCGCTTCGAGCGCGGGCCCGAGCCCACGGTTTCGCCGTTGGCACCCGTGGCGGACGCGGCGCCCTTGTAGAAGGCAGCATCTTGGCTGCGCTTGGCTTTCTTCTTCTCCTGGAGTATGTTCCGCTGCTTGATCTTGGCCGAGGCCTTGCGCTTCTCGAGAACGCCCTTGAGGTGCTTCTTCTCGAACTTGCGGGTCGCCTTTGCGTTTTTCTTGGCGACGGCCATCGTGGCGGGCGAGTGTTGTTGGAAATTGGCTGTCGGACACTCGGCGACGATGGTTGGTGATTGTTGTGTAAGGGGGAGGGGAGGGTGGATGTTTGGTGTTGGTTGCAGTTTCCCAGAAACGGCTTCTAAAAACCTCTCTTGCCCAAATGGTCGCTATGCTCAAAAAAAAAAAAGTTGTTATCGGACATCTTATCGGGAAGGCGCTACCGCGTACGATAGTCTGGTTGGGAAAGGCGGTGAGGCGGCGGTCAATTCTGCCGCCAGTCAGGTGGTCTTGGTGGGGTCGGCGAATGCACTGAAGAGACGGTGCTGCGAGTGCTCTAGGGAAGCTACGGCCCACTGTACTGCAATTACGTAGACAGAGACAACAGCCGTGCCTTCATGCCTACTGCTTGTCGACCTCTATATCCAACACTCAAGTCGAATCAACGGCGCTCTCTCCCACGCTCCCCCATCCTCCCACACGGCCATCGACGGGCCATGCCGACCTTACCAAGTTTGCCCGCAGACGATCGCCGACCATGATTCCGCGGCAGTCGTACGCACCGCTGCCGCCGAGCTACGTGCCGAACACGACGCCGTCGGCGACGATCAACCTCGACGATGAGGTCAAGCTGGCGGAGACGCGGGCGGAGCGCGACATGCAAGAGTCGCTGGCGGAGATTTTCAGCATTATCGTGACCATTGACGAGCTGGAAAAGGCGTTTCTCAAGGACGCGGTGCCCGAGGCGGACTACACGGAGATCTGCGAGCGCTCGCTCAAGCAGTACAACTCGATCCTCAAGGACGAGGCGGTGGCGGCGGCCTATGGCAGCCTCGACGAATTCAAACAAGAGTGGGATGTACGTGGCAGCCTCGTCTCCATCTCCATTTTCACACCACATCCACAGACACTGACCTGCGCAGCTCGAAGTCCCCCGCGCTACCGAGCGGATACGCGCCGGCATGCCGTCGACGGCGCTGATTGCCGGTAGCGGCGGCGGCGGTGGAGGCGGTGGAGGTGGCAACGGAAACGGCCACGGCAACGGCGACGGCGGCACCGGGCTTGGTGGCGGTGGGCTCTCAAGTGGTGGTTTGGGAGGCGGCGGCGGCGGCGGCGGCGGCGGTGGTAATGCTCCCGGCGGCGCACTGATTCTAGAAGCGACACAGGACTTTATCACGTTTCTGGACGCGCTGCGGCTGGGCCTGCTCGCCAAAGACCAGCTACACCCCCTGCTGACCGACGTGATCCATGCCGTCAACAAGGTGACGGACCGCGACTTTGAGAACCGCGGCAAGATTGTGCAATGGCTGATCACGCTGAACCAGATGAAGGCGACGGACGTGCTGGACGAGGGCCAGGCGCGCGAGCTGGAGCTGGACATAAACTCGGCGTACCAAGGGTTCAAGAGCACGTTGACGTAGTGATGGAGGGGTGGTGATGAGCGTCTCTTTTAATGTACAATTATGTTTCCTTGTTTTTATTTTATTATATTTTTTTACAATAACGAAACCTGCCCTCAAACAAGAAATGTCCAGAAACTGGGATACACAAACTCCTCTTCAAAGATGCGCCGCACCTGCTCCAGCACGAAGCGCTCGACCTTGCCGACGTTTTTAAGGCTCTGCTTGCCGCTCTCGCGCTGCCCAATCTCGCTCTCGACGCGCACTTCTTGCAACAGGCCGCCCAGTTTCGTGCGCGGCAGGCCGTGGGACGGCGCCGGCGATGCTGCAGCTGCGGCGGCGGTCGTCGGTCGTCGGCCCGGCGTAGCGGGCGCAGGCCGCTCAACGTCGCCCTCGTCTCTCCCTTCGTGGCCGTCGTCCTTGTCTCCGTCCTCATCGCCCTCCTCGGCCTCGTCGTCGCCGACAGCCGCCAGCGCGTCCTCGGGGCTCAGGAAGCAAAAGTGCACGCGCTTGCGGATGTTGGCGAGCACGCCGACGCCGTCAAAGGTCAGACCGGTGATGCTGAGCCGCACGGGGATGCCCACAAAGCTCGGCATCGGGTAGTCGAGCAGGATGTCGGCCGTCAGCAACAGCTTGACATCGCCCGCGTAGCGGATGCGGAACACGGCCTGCATGTCCTCGGCACGAGGCTCTCGCCGAAACCGTGGCGACGGAGACGGTCCTGGAGCCCCGCCGACACCAGGACCACCCGTCGCCTGTCCCAGCAGCAGCGTCCTGTCCATCTCGTTGTCGCCTTCGCTGCTGTCATCGTGGTCGTCAATCGCCGAGCCGCCTAGCATCTGCAGCACATGTGGTGCCTGCTGCTGCTGCTGCGTCTGCTGCATGCCATCGCGTGTCGCAGGCCGTGATGCACCGCCGGCCGACGTCGGCGCCAGCGTCGAGACGCTGTGCTTCTCGCGCAGCGCCGGATGCTGCATCAGCGACGGCAGATTGGACGGCGGCGACGAGGCCATGCCGCCGCCGCCGCTAGGCGTGAGTCGCAGGTTGTCGCGGTAGTAGTCGCCCACCGAGATGGAGCTGCTGTGCGACGGGTTGCGGCTGTGGCTCGGTGGTGGTGTCGCGTCGTCTTGACGAATGCTGCTGTCGGTGTAGGCGTAGTGGTGGTCCTGGTAAAAGTAGCCGCTGCCGCCCGGGCCGCCCTGCGGCCCGCTGCTGCCCAGATGCGCGCCTGCCATGGCGGCCAGCGGCGTTTGCGTCCCCGACCACCCGGCCGGGGTCAGGTGACTATGAAAGTGGTGCAGCAGGTTGGATGTGCCGCCGGGCACGCCACCGCGCGTGCCGGTCGCTCCCGCCGTCGCCGGTGTGGCTGCGCCGCCCAGTCCCGTGATCGTCTGGTGCGAGCTGCCGCTCAATTCGTGGCGATGCTGATGATGACGGTGGCCATGGTGGTGCCGCATGCCTTTGCCACGGCCGTCGTCGGCGCGTCGCGGCTGCCGGCTGTCTGGGCCGTTGTCGCGCCGCCGTCGCCGTCGCCGCCGTTCGTCGTCGCTAAACTGTGGCCCATAGTCGTCGCTCTCGTCGCTCTCGTCGCTGTTTCCGTCGCCATCCTCGTCGTCGCTGCAGTCCTCCCCGTCCTCCTCGTAAAAGTCAGGCAGTGGGTCCGTAATGTCCTTGAGCTCAAGCTCCGGCCCGATGGACCCAAACTCAAAGTCGTGCACCGTCACAGACTTGATGAAGCGCGGCAGCGGCACTGTCTGGAACTTGCTGTGGATGAAGTCGCGTATCCGGTGCGCCAGCTCCTGCCCGTCCGGCCCCGTCGTGAGCGTTTCCCAGTTGAGGTCGATGGACATGGTGGGACGTGGGGAGTGTGGGAGCAAGTAACTGGGGAGCAAGGTTGAGCATCAACATATGGTTTAAAGCTGTTGTAAAATAAGTGGGTCCATATCTCGCTGGAAGATCCGGTGTAGCAAGCACCTGTAAGAAGCCGTGATGACTAGCGTGATCCCTCTACCACGTGCAGCCTCGTCTTCATCATGACCACCTCGATTTCGTGAGCCGGCAATCCCACACATCACAATGCACACAAGGCAAAGGATCGTCTCATCATTATTCATAAGTCGCTGTGCGCTAATCAGTCTCGTCTATAGTATTCTTCCCGGTAGGCGAATTCCACAACGCCAGTACGTCTACCTCCTCTTCGTCGTCCTCCTCGTCGTCTTCCTCGTCTCCTTGTCCTCCTTTGCCCCCCAATTGTCTCTTTCCACCGTCTCTCTCCCCTACTCATCTTCAAAGCGAGCGCGCTGCCCCTGGGACGGATGCGAGTAGCCCATGTTGCCAAACAGGTGCCAGCAGTTGGGCGCTTGCAGAATGTAGCGGTCCATGGCCTCGCGGAACCGCGACTTGTACTCCTTGGGACTCGTCACCGTCGGCCGGTTGCGCCCGCCGCCCGCAAAGCCGCGGTCCTTGATCCAGCTCTCCAGCTTCTTGTCCCACGTGTACGTGCGGATGCAGTCGATGATGCCCACCACCAGCTCCTTGCGCGACTCGTCCACCGCCACCATCAGCGAGTAGTCCATCACGTTCTGCCGCGCCAGGAACAGCGTGTCGTTCCACACCGACGCCCACAGCAGCTTCTTGGCGTGCTCGCGCGCAAACAGCGGCGACTCGTAGATGTACTCGACCATGTTCTCGTCCAGCAGCACCTCGTTCTGCTCGCCCGTCGACTGGATCTTGCGGTTGCGCATCGACCCCTTGAGGTCGAACTTGCGCGTCTCCTGCCGGTCGTAAAAGAGGTTCTCCATGATCAGCAGGTCCAGCTTGATCTCCGTGCCCGTCGCTGCGTTCTTGACAATCACCTGGAAGAACCCCAGCATCTTGGCAATCACCGACGGCAGGTCGTGGAACAGCGCCTCCGCCATGATCCGGAAGTACGACGGCGCGAACCGCAGAAACGCCGCCGTCTCCACCGGCGACAGCGACTTCATCACCAGCCGGTCGTCCAGCGTCTTGAGGAACACCGACTTCGTCTTGCCGCCCTTGGAGTCCCACTTGAGGCACCGCGACAGCGACTCGATGATCCGGTCCGCCACCCCGCATTTGCGCCGCAGCGCGTCGAACTGCTCCGCGTAAAAGATCTTGCACATCATCCGCGCCGAGCCCTCCGTGAATTGGTACTTGAGGTGCGTCCCCGTCGGCCGCAGCAGACTGCGCTCCAGCTCCTCTTCGTCGATGGTCATGGGCGGTGCCGCGAGCGCGTGCGCCACCGGGTTCGCAAAGGGTTCTTCGCCCTGCGGGACGGGTGTCGGTGTCGGCGTCTCGGACGCGTCGACGGGCGCGGCTAGGAGCTGCTGCTGCTCGCTCTGGCTCTTGCCGGCATCCACTGCGACGGTTGCTTCGATGTGCGCCGCGTTGGCGGCCAAGTCCTTGGCCGTGGTGGCTGCTGCTTCTTCTGCTGGCACAGTCGCCTCGCCGGCCACCGCTCTGCCCTTGGCGGCCTTCATCATGAGGCCGCCCCCCTCGTTGTCGTCGCTGCTGTCGCATTCGTGCGGATTGTCGCCGTCGTGCTTCGCGTCTCCAGCATCGCTGCCGCCGGCGCTGCCTCCTTCTCTCTCGTCGTCGGAGTCGTCGTTCTCGTCGGAGTCACTTTCACCTTCGTCCTCTGCGTCGTCCCCTTCTTCGTCGTCGCCTTGGCCATCGCCGTGACGAACAGCCCCGCTGCCCTTGCGGCGCTCTTTCCGTGCCGCGCGCCGTCCCTGGCGCCGGATGTCCTCGAGCTTCGCAATGTAGTCCTCCGAGCTCAGCGCAAACGCAATCAGCGAGCTCGGCTCGTCCTCGCGCACAATGACGTCCGAGTCGATAAAGATGTGGTCCGTCGGTCGCAGCGGGTACTCGAGTTCCGGCCACCCACTCGCCGACCGCTCCGCCCAAAAGTTGCTCAGCATCTTCATCAGGTTCGACTTCTTGTCCTGTTGTAGCTCGGCGGGCACCGTCCCGCTCGGCTCCAGGTGTTCGGCAATCGTCTCAACGTCGGGCAGGATGTCTTCCAGCGACTGGTCCGCGTAGCTGCCGCCCTCTTCGTCATCCGAGCCGGCTGCACTCTTGTCTTTGTGCTCTCGGTCGTCCGTCTCGCCTTCGGTGGCTCCATCGGCCGTTTCATCGGATGGCTGCTGTGAAGGCGGTGCACTCTCGTCGGTCGTCGGAGACGCTTCTTGGTCGGCGCCATTGCTGTCCTTGCCCTTGGAATCTGCCCCGACGGCAGCATCATCAGTATGCGGCTGTGGTTGTTTGGTTGCTGTGCCCCCCTTATCAGTTGCGGGTCCTGCTGGGGAAGGCGAAGCAGCTGTAGCCTGTGCATCCGTCGCTGCTGTTGCTGCTGTCGTGGGGTTCGAATCGGCCGACCGCGCCTCGCTGTGTTGCGACGCAAACAGGTGCTCGTCGTCTGTAGGGCCGGGTTCTTGCACCGCCTGGTCCACGCTATCGTACACCTCGACCGTGGCACGCGCCGACGACTTGGGCACGTACGCCCGCGGGTGTTGCATGTTGGCTGCTTGCTGCCTCCGCTCGCGGTTGCGCTCCTTCTCAAACTCGCGACTCAGCTGCTCAAAATGCTGCGTCAGGCTTGTCACCTTCTTGGCATCGCGCTTCTGCACGAACCGCGGGATCGCCGACGACCCCGTCTTGCGATTCTTCAGCGCCGTGAGGCCGATGCGGTCCGAGAACTTCTTTTCGACCTTGGCCGGTGCGACACTGGTATCTGTGCCGCTCCCTGCTCCGTCGACCCCGGCAATCGCTTTGTTGCTGCTGTGCTTGGCCCGGGGCACAACACCCACCGGCTGTGTACTGGCCCGCATCATAGGCGGCGACACGAGCGGGCCAGCTTTACGGGACTGCCCAGCACCACGCGGCTCGGGCACTAGCCGACCTTGCGACTTGGTCGGGGATTGCAGTTGTGGCGGGTATTGTGGACCATCCTGGGTGGCATTGTTGCTGCCGCTGTTGCTACTACTGTTGCTGCCGCCATTGTTGGCAAAGGTTTGCGCAGCCTCGTTGATTTCTGCGGATTGTGCTTGAAACTCGCGGCGTAGCTGCTCCACCTTTTCCGTGAGCGACTGCTGCGACATGAGCGGCGGCGGCGCTGCCGACCGGGTGGGCTTGGATGGACTGGCCGACCCGCTAGTCGCCGAAGGAACTGGCAAGCTCGACACCGAATCGGCAGCGGCGATCGTCGTGGTCTCAGCCTTGCTCTCTGGGGTTGGTGCCACAGTCGAAGCTGCGTTTCCTGCCGAAACTGGAGCAGGCGGTCCAGCCAGGCCTGCCTTTGTCGTACTCGGGGAGATGGGTGTCGCCAAATCAAGAGACACGACCTGGTCCGAAGGAACAACTGGTTCGCCCTTTGGCTGTCCTTCGGAAGTCTTGGTGCTGGAATCGGTGCATTCAGTAGCTCCGCCCGTGGTTGTTGCGGCATCCAGAGTGCCAATCGCAGGGGGCTCGCTGTCCGTCGGCTGGGATGTCGGGGGGCTCGATTTCTCGTCCGACTCAGTAAAGGAGTTTTGCGTCGTGGCCGCAGCCGTCGAGGGCGTCTTGGCCTCGCTGCCCGTGACACTAGCACTGGCACTCGCGCTGCCGCCGTCGGTCGATTCCTTCGCCTCGGTGTCCGTAAACATCTTCCTAAGCTGGATCACAGTCAATTGCCGCACATCCTTGTCGGAGAGGTAGTCCGCCTCAAATTTAGCAAACGCCGCATCCCATTCGGCAATCTTTTCGGCCATGGTGCGGATCGTCGCATTGAGAGGAATGACCTCGTAGTGCTTGGATTGCATGTATGCCCGCTCCAGGCCCCGGAGCACCTTGATGTGCTCCTCGTGCGCCTTTTTGGCCAGCCGCTCTACCTCCGCGCGGCAGTCTTTTTCCTTTTCGGGCAGCACGCTATCGATGCGGATGCTCTTGATGCGCGTCTTGACGGACATGATGAACCGTAGCCAGCGTTCCTGCGTCTTGGTAAAGATTTCATTCTTCAGCTTGAGGTCGTGGTCGACCTTCCACGTGATACGGGCGCGTGGGACGACCAGTTCCAGCAGGTCAATGGGGTCGTAGTGGATGCGCACCGACGAGCCGCGGTAGTGGAAGTAACGGATGTGGTCCTTTTGGCAGTCGTGCGAGCAGCCCGTGTCGTCCACCAGGCGCAGGCCCCTGCTCCAGAAGAGCAGCTCCAAGTATTTGCCAAACGAGTACTTCCAGGCGCTAGGCGACAGCGGCTTTACCGTGAGGTCGCGTTTGCAGATCTTGCAGTAGCTCCACATGTATATGGTATCCTCATCGTCCTCGCTGATGGGGTCGTGCCCTTCAGGTAGCTCGGGTGGTGACGGTAGTTTCGCCTCGGTTTCAACAAAAAATGTGACGCGGGCCTCGCCATGGACATAGGTGCGGTGGTGCTGCCACATGTGCCGGTCGCAGCCGTTGGCGTGGCAGAGCTCCTCAGCGCCGTCACACAAGTCTTGCACATACTGGCCGAGCGTGCAATCGGCGTCCATAGGCCCGTTCGGGTCCGGAAGTTCTTCGTAGAAGGCGATCCCGATGAGGCCAGGCTCCAGGCAAGGGATCTTGGTCTCTGTGCATGTAAGGGAGTAGAGAACGACAATGTTTTGGTGTGCGTACGGGTCGAAGAGGTCGAGGTTGCCCTGGATGTAGTTCTCCCACTGGCGCGTCATTGTTTGGTAAGCGTAGAATGCCTTGTCGTATTCGGCGTCATGGACGGCATGCAGGACCTCCATGATCTGCCGGGGCGCCTTGCGCCCAATCTCGTGCACCATCTCGGGGTTGATCAACTGGAACTGCCTCTGCGGGCCCTTTTCGTCGGCCGTCGCCTGATCGTCGTCCTGCTCCTCCTCAACAATGTCCTGATCACGCAGTTTCTTGAGGTACAGGAGGCGCGTCTCTTGCTCACGTGCCTTGACAAGAAGGTATGGCTGGGTGAACTTGACGAATGGCGACGCAGAGAGGATCTTGGTTTTGTACTTCTCTACCATGTCGCTGTAAAATGTCGGCGCCGGCACGTTTTCGTGCGCCGTGCGCAAATGCAGCACCTGTGCGTCTTGGAGGGAGAGTATGGAGGGCGTGGACGTTTCGAGCGGGGCCGCCTCAGACTGCGTTTCCTTGTCCTCGGCTGCAGGTTCGGGAGCTGCATCGGTAGCCGTCTCGGCGGGCGGTCCTGCGGTCGGTCCTGCGGTCAGTGCGGGTGCTGCTGCGTTATCCGATTGACTCGGTATCGAAAGACTGCCCGCGTCGGGTTGTGACGTGTGCAGGCTCTCGCCGTCTGTCAAGAGCATCGTCGAGGCAGCAGGGCTGCGGTCGGCCTGACTCTCGCCTCCGGTGCTCGCTGAGGCCGCTTGGGTGTCATTTGTCGATTGTCCTGCGGTGGCCGGTTTAGCGGAAGCCGTAGCGTCAGGCTGAAGAGGCATCTGCACAACAGCGTCGCTGAGGAGACACGACTCGAGTTTCAGGCTGTACACAACGTATACCATGAACTCGGTGATCTGCTTCATCCGAGACAGCTGCGCCGTGGATGCGCCACGGAGAGCAATCGTGCAGCCCAGGAATTTCTCACAGCCGGAAAAGAAGATATACGTCTTTTTGCGGCCAGGGATGTCATTGTTGACAAACGTCTTGACTTCGAACTCGGCGCAGCGCCCGACAACAATCGGCAGCGACAGCATGTCCATGGAGGAGATGATGGGCGTGCCGACACAGCGTGACACGGCGCCAATGACAGACGCCTTGACGTTGTATGCCACGGCGATGCCAGCCTCGGCGAGTGACTGCAGTGCCAACCCGGCGACATTACGCTGGGCCAAGACGACTTCGGGCTGGTGCTTGCGGATGCGGGCAACGACCATCTTGAGAAACTCCTTTTCCTGCGACATGACGGGTTCAAGGCTCATAAACTGGTGCTGCTGCTGGCGCTGGTACTCGATGGGGAACGAAACAATGAGGATGCGCGGGTGAGCAATGCGCCTCGGCATGCTCTTAAGTGCAAGGTTTTTGGTGAAGATAACGCCCGACACATAGCTGCTGTCGCTGGGCTTGCCGCCGGGGATTTTCTTGAGCTTCACATAGTGGCGGATATCCATACGGTCGCCCTCGCGCGTATTGGGGTCAACATCGTCCGCACAGCGCCGCAGAAGCGGGATAAGCGTCTTTTCCCAGGCGGCTGGGTTTGGAATGGAGGCGTCCTCCAGCAACTGCCGAAACATGCGTTTTACGTGCTTGAGACTTGGGGCGCTCAACTTTGTCGGCTTGGTCTGCGGTCCCGCGCCCTGTGGCCGCGCAGGCGGGCCGCTGTCAAAGCTGCTGGGGTTGTCAAACAGGCCCAGCCCCTCGCTTGAGAGTGACGGACCCTTAAACATCGTGCCGGGTTTGGACCGTGGTGATCGCATATTGTGCTGGCCGGCCGTGGCACTGGCGGTGCTCATGTTGCGGTGACGGCCCTGCACGCGGGAGTGGTTCGACATGGCCAGTACGCCGTCGTCCTTTTCCTGGCCACGGCTGGTGAAGCTGAGGCCGCTGATGCTCTTTTCGCCGCGGGCGCGATGCTTCCGGCCGGCGCTCATAAAGGGGCCGAAGTTGGGCTTGTCTGGGTCCAAGCTGGACGACGTGGTTTCGTTTCCGGCCATAGTTGCAAAGATGCTCATCTGCTCATCGCCACTGGACTCGTCCGACATGTACGGCGCCAGCTCTGGGTCGATGATGTTGTCGTCGTGGAAGGCGGGCAGTTTGGATTTGCGGCCCATCTCATCGGCGACGTCCTTGCGAAACGGAACGCGGTCTTCGGCGGGCGTCTTGTGCGTCCAGTGGAAGTTGGCTTTCGAGTGATGGCGAATGTGGCCAGAGGAGGGTGGCCGGCCCGTGTTGAGGGATATGAGTGACCGCGACGAGCCAGGGCGGCTCAGCTGCGGCGCATCGATCTCCAGAATCGCCGAGTTCCGGTTGGACGGGTCACCTTTGCGCCGTGTCGCAGGGATGGCCATCATAGGTGCCGTCATCGACCTCGAGTCGTCCTCGGCGTCGTCAATGCGCTCGAGGATGCTGTTGTCGCCATCGCCTTTTACCCGCGACGCCGAGGGCGGTGGCCTCGACGATGCAGTATTCGTCCGGAGGAGGGTCGTCAGACGCGGGTCGTCGGAGTCGTCGGAGCCGCTATCATAGCGACGGTTGATAATGTCCAGGCAATTTTTACACACGCGCAAATTGCCGGGCACGCCAAACTTCTGCCCCGATATGGTCGATGTGCACTTGCCGTCGAAGATCCAGCCGCAGGTCCGGCAGTGGTGCTTGCGGCGGAAGGCCGAGAATGGGTCGCCGCAGCGAAAGCACTCCTTGCACGTCTCGTCGGCCATCCAGAACTCCTTGCTCTGGATCTGCTTGCGCATGTTTTCTAAGCGGGCGTTGACCATCTCCGGCGCGCCCTCGTTCGTCGTCGTGCCGGGTATGCGCATCTGGCCGGACTGCAGCTGCTGGGGCCGCTCGTCGTGGGCAAAGGACTCATGGTAGACCGAGTTGTGCGCGGAGGTGCTGATGGAATTGGTCTCGGCCGTGCCGGCGTCTGTCGCGACCGAGGGCGAGCGCTTTCCGCCCAGGACGCCGGACGTACTCAGGCGGTCGATGACGGCGGGAATCTTGACGTCATCGCGGGCCTGCCGTGAGCTGGTAGAAGGACCGGCAGCTGACGTTGGGACGACTTCTGACGTATGCATGTGTGAGCCAAGCCCGGCCGCACCGGTGGAAACCGCATCTGCATACGCGCTGGTCGGTTTGCCGTTGTCTCGCGTCATGTCAAAGACGCCGGTGCCGCCAGACGTATCGACAACGGCAGCAGACGCTTCTGCTCGGCCGAAGTTGGGAAGACCCTGGGTGGTGGAAGGAGGTTTTTGAGAAGACTTTTGCGTGGACATGGTCGTCAAGGACGAGGCCTTGGAATAAACGGGCGGCTGCGACTGGCCATCGGAGGTGATGCCGCCCGATGAAGAGGTGACCGTCGTTGGGAGGTCGGACGAGAGGTTGGAACTGAAAGCGGAGTTCACGTTGGAGGCAGAGTGGGAAACACCGCCGCCACTGTGCTCGCCACGAGGGAGGCTCGAGACGGACGACTTTGAACGTGTGTGTGCTGGCGTGTGCGAGTGCGAGTGCGACGCAGTGCCAGCTTTTGCAGATGATTCTGCCTCCAGGCTGTCGGCACTGACGTCGCCCGCCGGATCCGAAGTCGCTGGCGAAGCTGCCTTGCCACCAACAACAGCCTCCTTCAATCGCGAGTAGAAGCCGCTCAGGCCCTGCTGCACCAAGTCGCCGGCCGAGCCCTTGGCCTCGGCGACAGGTGCGGCGGTGGGCGGCGAGCCAAAGTCGTTGAACGTCGTGAGCACGTCGGATTGGCTGGCAGATGTGTGGATCTTGTCGAGTGCCTGAGCAAGCTGCTCTTTGTCGACGTAGGACGACACGGACATGCTGCCAACCGAGCCACGGCGCGAACGGCGGTCGAAGGCAATGGAGAGCACGGACGGCGATGCCGGGGGGTTCTTGGAGGACGACATGACACGTGCGGTTCGTCGGGGGAAAGGTTTGGTGTTGTGGCGATGTGGTGTCGATCTCGAGAGGACGGATTATCGACGGGACGCACTACCAAAGTGCGTCCACGCCTGCCATGCCCTAGGAACGCACGCAGGACAGGTGAGACGCTCAGACGGCCAAACGGCGTCTCGGTGCTGCTGCTGTTCGTGTCGGCAAGTTGGCGATGGTTGGCTTTTGGCTTTTGGTGGTGCAAGAAAGAGAAAACAAACGATGTCGACGAGGATGTGCCCCGAGGACCGCAGGGACCATTACGACATTGTTCTGCTGTGAAGCTGGGGAGGCGGTACGAGATCGAGATGGGGTGGCAAAAACGGTGTTGATGGCTGGGATGAAAAGGTACAGCAGGCGAGATCCCGTGCCAGCTGTGTTGGGGTGCTTTGGAAGGATGCTGTGATGCTAGGTTGAGGCCTGTGTTTTGAAAGCTTTGCGTCAGCAGGCAGGTATCATCACAGCACCATCCGTCGCCTGCTTAGCATGCCCTTGGCGCCTTCCCGACGTAAATCGACGTGGGGTGGCGCCGGTAGCCTGGGAGGCAGGAGCCAGCTCTGGGGAACGGTACCTGGAGCGACCAGTATTTTTTGCGGTAAAGGTATGTCACTGTCGGGAAGTACATTGGGATACCTCCGTGCGGAAGGTTTGTGCTGCAGTTTCGCTGCTTACTTGGAGCTTTGCATTGTCGCTTGCAAGTACCCATGGAACCATTTAGTTCCTTTTTCCAAAAAGGAGCACTTTCCAAACGCGGCCAGACGCGTCAAACGGCAGACGCAGCATCCAGTGACATTGTTCTCAATCTCTGCATCTCAGACAAGCCTTTCCCAATGCCGTCCGGTACGGCATCCGTTTGCTCACTGCCGTGACACGAAGAAGTTCGACCTCAGGCGCCATGCGCTCTGCAAGTTCATATAGGCAGTATACACACTCGGCGAAAAAGACCTTCCCGAAAAACGCGACGGTTTAGGATCGCGAGTGTCAAATCAACAACATCCGACAGCCCAACACCACTGCACAACATAGACACAATAACAATGACGGAAAGCGTGCAAACGGGGGCTGGGGCCGCGACAGACTCGAATCTGCCCGGGCTTTGGCCGCCGCTGACAAAGACCGGCGTTCTAAAGAGGCTGTCAGTCAACATCTCCCAGCGCCAACGACAACTCCTCGACGACGACAGTTCCTGGATCGGCAGTGACGGCAGGCCGGGTCCAAATCACAAACTTGTGCCGGACAAGGTGCTGGAGTATCTACAGAAGCAGGTTGCCGAAAACAAGCAACTACAAGCCCCGTCCCAGCCAGAAGAGGTCGACCCACGCGAGCAACAACCCGGCGATACTGCATCCGAGGCAGTTGCTGCAACAGTGACTCAAGGATATGACCAAGAAGCAGTGGTGCCGGACCAGGCGGCTGCATTGCCTCCAGGTTCCCCAGCACCACCACCCACGCCTCAGTTGCGGAGGAGCATGGCCGGCAACGCGTCAGGACCAAGGACAGATGACGCACCGGAAAGAGATTTGCCAGCATCAATTTCTGACGGTGAAGAGGTACTGGCTCCTGCTCCGGCGGCTGTTGCTCTGCCGGTATCTGTCTCTCCAGTAGCCCTAGCACAGGTTGCTGTTGCGACAGTTCCGAGGGAAGAGCCAAATGGCGTGGTGGTGGTGGCCGGAAACCAGGAACAGAACTTGACGGAGCAGCAGCCGCTATTATCACTAGCAGAGCCAGACAGTGCGGTAGGACCGGTGCCGGCTTCAGAGCCCCAGCCTGAGGCTGAGCCAGACATAAAGCGCGAGCCAGAGGCAGAGGAGGGGCCAGAAAGGTTCGTGGCAGTAGAGAATCGCAGCTCTCCCCCAATATCTCACCGGGAGTATTCGCCGGATTGGGGCAGCAAACTTGCCAGCGACGACGATAACGACGACGGCAATGACGACGGCCATGTCAATCGAGAACATGACCAGCCTGCCCAAGAAGAGCCCACCGAACAAGATGAGGTCGAGCAGCAGTTCCTGCAGAAGCAACAGCAGCCGGAGAAGCAGCAAACGCCTCGTCCCGCCCCAGCTCGGCTTCCCGTGACAACGGCTTGGGCGCAGGGCCAGGCGCCTTACCACAGCCGTTCACCCGACCTTGGCAGCAGCTCGCCAGTGCCCCTCGACGTCGAGCTCCCCGACATGCTCAATGGAGAGAATGCGCCGATGCTGCGGGCACCCAGTCGCGGCACTTTCTCAGAGTCAGTTGGCGATCAGCCCAGCAGCAGCCCGACGCTGAGGCTACCACGGTCAAGCCTACGACGCCCGGTGCCGCAGGAGCTGTGTTGGCCACATGAGCCGCATGTTTCGCACGAGCACCAATCTGCAGGCGGCACGGCCGTGGCATCTTCAACGTTGCAGGAAGTTAGTTTCAACGTCAACAACAATGAGCGCCATACAGACGTGTCTGAAACGACGAGCATAAGCAAGGCCGCAGCCAAGCCACGGCCGACGCATAGGCGCATGAAACCACCCATCTTTCCTCGAAAAGCTCCTCAGCAGACAAAGCCACCGGCGCCGGCACCCGGCGAAACGATCACCAGAAACCCCAGCCGACAGCCGTCTTTAAGCCGTCCGCCCATTGCCAACATCGATCGTCCCAGGTTCAGCACGAGCGAGCTGTCCACAAGCCCCATCGGAACGCCGAATGCCGTCCAGAGGACCGAAGCCTTCTCTCGTACTTCTACAACACACAGAGCGGTGGATGTTGTGGAGTCACCAGCTCTGGCCGCGCGTGTTCCCACCACAGTCCAAGACGCCGTCGTTGCATCTTCTCCTCCGCCACCTGTGTCTGCTTGCAATTCGCCGGCATCACATACTATGTCCAGTAAAGCAGCCTCGCCCACCCCGTCGCGGACGTGGATGATGCCGTACGAGTCGTTTACGGCGACATACCCGGACTACAAGGGCGACCTAGAGGACTTTTTGCGGGCCTGCTACTCACTCCAGCACATCAGCCCCGAGGCGCTGCCTGGCTATGTATTTGACGACGTCGTGCATGCTTTCCTGGACTACATCGAATACGTGCAGACGATCGCCGCGGGCGCGCCACAAAACCTGGCGCAGTGGTACAATCTGCACTCGACTGCGCTGGTCCACGACAAAAACGTCGTCACTCGAGCCAATGTGGCTGCCATCCTCAAGGCATACCCAGAAGAAGTCAAGGCCTTTCAGACAAACGCGCAACATTCAAGCGTGCAGACCAACGCCTCCAGCGCCCGCGCCGAAAAGGAGGTGGACGTTGTGGGTGCTACGGCAGCACCCCCTCCGGACACGGCTGACGAGCCCGAGCCCCATGAGAGTATCCTGCCAGGCCGACCCTTCCCCTTTGAGGCTGCGCAACACCGCAGCCCTCTTGGGTCGAGTTGGCCAAGCAACTCGATTCTTGACAATTTGAATGGCATCGACAACTCCAACAGTACCGACAGTCACAAGTCACTACGCGACCATTTCGGCCCAAACCAGAGCCAGAGCCAAAGCCAAAGCCAAAGCCAGAGCCGGAGCCAGAGCCAGAGCCAGAGCCAGAGCCAGAGCCAGCAACATGATGTAGATCGGCCGCACCGTTCTGTTATCCTGGGTGCAACGCAGTCGTCCTGGGCCGGCTCGTTTGACGACCAGTTGCCCTTCCCAGGCTCACTGCCCCAAACCGTAGATGTTCCGGAAGGGATGGGCACACGGGAGTTTTTGTTACGGTCGCCTGATCCCGTACAGTACACGCAACTGCGTAGTCCGACGACACAAGAGTTCGCCGGCCATGGCCCTGAAAACTTGATTCTCGAAACGCCGGCGAGACCGGCATCAAGCCGCAAGGGAGGCCGCCAAGAGTCCCGAGCAGACACGCCCCAAGAGTCTGCGACCTCCGGTCGTCAGATACCATTAACCAAAACAAGAGGCGTCTCTTCTGCCAAAAAGGCGCTGCGGCCGGCAGACAAGCCAGAGCAGGTTATCACCATAGACAAAGCCGCTCAGGGCGTCATCGCTGGCGCCATGAACTTTGTCAACGATGAAAACGACGACGACGACGACTACTTTGAGACATCCCTCCTGAGTGTGAAGTCGGCTGCCGAAGCAAGACGCCCACCGGTCCAGCCAGTAAACGCGTCAAGTCGTGCCAACAAGGAGGCACGCCGTACTACCATTGCGGCATCCGACGTTGGTATCGTGTCGCGGATAGCAGCGGCCGAAGAGCGGGAAGCCGTTGCAGCAAAGAGAGTGCTGCCGGCCTCGATGGTGCGGGCTGCGGCCGACGCGCAACCGCCCAAGAAAAAGAAGAAGACCGCAGAAGCTGCCAAGAAACGGCCCTCTTGGCTCAGTTTCTTGAAAAAGGAAAGGCCGCGACCGGCCTAACAAGCCTTTGTATAAATTGTTATGAATGCATTCTAGGAATTACAGGGAGATGTATTTGTATAGGCGCATTGCATTTGCACGCCACATGTCGTTGGCAGCTATGGCCCGTTGCCATTATTATGGTCTTACGACATCGTTACTTTCAGGTCCCATTTATATGACGGAACCGTGTTTTTGTGTGATTTATATTTGACTCTCATCGTATGCGTCGTGACGTAAATCGTATCGTACAATACGCATAAGCAACCCTACCGCCAGTATTCCCCCTTTCCTTCCTATGCCTGGTCCTTGCCGCAGCCCACGGCGTCTGCTCCTGTCTTGGCCTTGGCCGCCTCTTTCGCCGCCTCCTCCGCAGGTGTCATGGTGCGCAACTGCAGTGCGTGTATGCCGCCGTCCCGCTTCATCTCGTCGTCCAGGAGCGCATACACCATCCGGTGACGTGCAGGCTGGCGCTTGTCCTCGAACGCGGCCGTCGTGATGACCAGCCGGAAATGCGTCTCGCCCGTCTGTTCCTTGCCCTGCATGGGAGCATGGTGGGCGTGCAGTTGCGAGTCGTTGAAGATGTCAAGGCGTGTCGGGTTCAACGGGGCGAGCTGTGGCGGGTAATAGTTAGCAAGTGGGCGACATGAAGCACATGCACGCCTCGGTCCACGTACTCTTTCTCGGATCAAGTCCTCCACCGGCGTGGATCGAGGCTGGGCCATGGTGGCCTGTGTGCGGAGGCCGAGCAGGCGGCGGGGTGCCAGGCGGCGGGTCAGCATAAGACGGTCGGGTGCAAATTGTATGCCGGCAATGTCGCGAGAGCAGATAGCGGCGGTGGTGGTTGCACTGCGTGGTCACTTGTCGTCGAGTTGCTGTCGTGCAGTGAGAGCCAGAGAGCCAAAGTGGCATGACGGGTAAACTTTTCTTAGCGGCGGCGAAGGCCGCGGTGCACTAACATGTGGCGCATATTACCAATGGCTTACAGCGAAAGCAGAAATGCACCGCAGGAGCCAAAGCGGTTCCCCGTCCTCCTCGGGGTCCTTCCGGATTCATCATGTTCCTTCCAGTACATCAATCTCCCACGATTTCGCTCTTGCCTCGCCTTTCGTTTTCCATCGATACCACTACCATCCTCTCGTCTGCGCCTGCCGGAAGCAGCTCGCGTGCCAATGCCGCACATAAGCAGTTCAGTAAGCTGGCCCCAAATGGCAATGACGGCACTTCCCCACTTGGCACTAACTCGCCTGAAAGGTCCCCAGACCGCGCGCCATCCTTCCGATCTCCGGTTAAGACTCCCCCAACCCAAACGTCAAGTGCCGCCCAATCACAGCGACCAATTGCGACTCTTTCGTCGCATTTTATCATTTTGCACCTCGATGACTTGCCGTACCTGGTCACACCCTCATTGCCGTCTTTTCGCTCCATTGCAACCCACTCTGTCATTGTGAGCACCACAAACGGCTGACCACTGCACCCCAATCGCTCTTGCCTGAACGCACATCGCTCCTGCTGATTCTGTACGGTCAGTTTGTCCTGCCATCTCTGCACTTTCCCAAAAGAGCCGTCCCCAAACCGGCTGCCCCTGCCCGTCTCACGCTCTGTTCCTGCCTTGCCTCGTCCCAGTGTGACAGCCGCGCCTTCCTCGCTGTATTGCCATTTCTGCGCTGTTACTTCCTGTATTTCCCAATACAGCGTTGACCCACACGCAGTACTCCTAGCACATCGCATCGAGAAGAGCTTTGCCCACTCTCCACGCCCCGGACAACCCCTTCTGAGATCCTCGGTCTCTCCGCACGCCCCCCTCTCTCCTCACTCACACCCCCCTGTCGCAGCGGGTAGCCTTTCGAGCCAGTATTCTTGATTGGCTTGGCCCCCTATTTTATCGTTTATCTTGTACTTCTTTACCCTGTCGTCTTTTTTCCCCCGTCTTTGCATTTGTTATGGTTATGCGGCGTTATATGAGTCGACGGCTTGGCCACTCTTCAGTGTTTTCTGCCATTCAGCGTCTTGCCTCGTCCTCGCCGTCTGCTTGTTTCCTGCCTGCATCGTGTACATCGCTCCTCTTGTCTGCGTCCCCTCCACTCAAGACGGCATCCCTACCTTGGTCCGCCCCCACCACATCGGCGCCCTTCTCCATTTTCGCTCGCTCCTTTGCTGCCATGGCGCCGACGCTGCCTCGGCTGCCCGTCTTTGAGGCGATTGCCAAGCACGACCCTGCGTCGACCGTGGTCGTCCACTCACATTCTGGCCGTCGTTTCCGCTATGGCGAGCTGCTCGGTGACGTTCGCAGGGCCCGGGACCAGATGATCGAGGCCGCCGGCCAGACGGACGACCTCAACGGCGAGCGCGTGGCCTTTATGGTCGAGAACAGCTACGACTATGTTGGTGAGTAGCCGCACACACATACTCTCTCTCTTCGTTCTATTCGCTGACTGTCAGTCACCCTTCTCGCTGTTCTGGCCGCACGGGCCATTGCCGTCCCGCTGTCGCCCTCCTTTCCTATCCCCGAACTGCAATATATCGTGGACCACAGCGAGGCGCTGCTTGTCGTGTCGTCGGCAAAGTTCGATGCCAAGGCCAAGGAGTTGCTGGCCTCCGAGCTCCTGTCCAAGCCAACCCACGTGGCATTGGCCAAGCACCTCGGTGGCGGTGCGTACGAGAAGGTTGAGCTCGACGAGCATGTGGATGCCGGCGATGCCGGCCTGATGCTGTACACCTCGGGCACGACCAACCGGCCGGTAAGTCAAGTATACGCCTCATTGAACCACTGCGCGGCGCTAACAACCTCCCAGAAAGGTGTATCTCTCCCTGAACGTGTCATAACGGCTCAGGCCCAGTCGCTCAACAAAGCATGGGAGTACTCGCCAACGGATCATCTGCTGCATGTGCTGCCGCTGCATCACATCCACGGTACCATTAACGCCCTCTACGCCCCGCTGTTCTCCGGAAGCTCCGTCGAGTTTCTCTTCCCATTCAATGCCGATGCCGTATGGAAGCGGTTTGCCGCGCCGTTTCTGCCAGAGACGGAGGAGCAGAAGCAGAAGAAGGGCACCACGATGCCCCAGAAGGAGATTGTCACGTTCTTTACCGTTGTTCCCACTGTCTATAGCCGCCTGCTTGCCACGCACAAGGAGCTGAGCCCCGAGATGCAAGCGGCCACGCGCGAGGCCATCTCGCCGGCCAACTTGCGCCTCAACATATCCGGCTCAGCCGCCCTGCCGACACCCGTCAAGAAGGCGTGGTCCGACCTGTCGCATGGCAACGTGCTACTGGAACGGTTCGGCATGACCGAAGTCGGCATGGCCCTCTCGTGCGGCCTGAACATGGCCCACCGCGTCGACGGAAGCGTCGGTTGGCCGCTGCCGTCGGTCGAGGCGCGTCTTGTCGACGTGGACAGTGGCGCAGTCATTGCACCTGGCGAGACGGTCGACAGCGAGGGCCGGGAGCGTGCCGGCGAGATCCAGCTGCGCGGCCCCACCATCTTTGCCGAGTACTGGCGCAATCCGACGGCAACGGCCAGCGAGTTTGCGCCGGCCGCCGAGGGGGACGCCAACACGACACCGTGGTTCAAGACGGGCGACGTGGCTGTGCGGCGTATGGTCGACGGTGTAGACACTGCCGCCGCCGCCGCCGCCACGCCATCCCAAGACTGGACGGGCGACCGCAGCATGTACTTTATCCTTGGCCGCAAGAGCGCCGACATTATCAAGTCGGGTGGCGAGAAGGTGTCGGCGCTCGAGATTGAGCGCGAGCTGCTGTCGCTGCCAGTCGTGGCCGAGGCAGCCGTCGTGGCGGTGCCGTCGGGCAAGTGGGGCCAGAAGGTCGGCGCCGTGGTTGTGCTGCAGGCCAAGGGCGAGCACGCGACAACCAAGTGGTCTGTTATGGACATGCGGCGCGCGCTCAAGAGCCGGCTGGTCAACTACAAGATCCCGCAGCTGCTGCGCGTGGTGGAGTCCATCCCGCGCAACGCCATGGGCAAAATCAACAAGAAGCAGCTCGTGGCGCAGGTATTTGTGGACGACTTTAGCGGAGACGAAGCGATGACACCGGCACCCGCAGCCAAGGTGAAGACGGCCCTCAAAAGGGATCCAACTGCTGCCACAGAAGCAGCACTGTCCACGGAAGAGGAGTCGCCGTCTAAGCGGCAGAAGGTGTAGGGTCGTCGTATCCGTCCCACGAGCGGTAAGGTGAGGTTGTACATATCATAAAAAATGTGTTCATGAAGGGAGAACTACAAAGGTCATCCAATATGACGTACATAGATGGTAATTTGGCTATATAGAAGACGCACATATTTCAAATCCTACAATTTCAGCTCTACTGTATCTGTGTTTTCTATTGAAAAACAACGGCATTATGATGGCATGCCTCCACTCTGTTTTCATTTCAACGTTTTCATTAATTTTCCTTATTTTTTCTTTGTTTTATTTGGTATTTTGACAGCTGTTTAAAACACAACGAAGAAATCCATGCTCCATTTTCCTGTACTTTCCATCTCTGGACACACTGAGTCGACAAAGTAGGAAGGAGCGGATTGTTCAGTGAATTTAGATGGAAAGAGCAACATGCAAGAACTGTTATATGTTTCCAGGCAGGAACGTAATTTCACAAAAGAAGAAATCCCACACCTTCGTTTGGAAGGAGCAACGCGGATTTGGGAAGGAACAAAGTTTTCTACGAAGGAGCGAAGTAAATACAAAAACATAACTGGCCAATCAGACCCATTCCCCGCGGCATATCCAAAGAAGCATCGTCACCCCGTCTCTTCTGACATAACGCCGCCTCTGCATCACTCCATTTCTGGCTCATCACGATCATCTGCTTCTTCCTCGGCTGCGTCCGCTTGCTCTGCTGCAATCGCGTCCATACGCGCGCGAACTAACGCCATCCAGTCAATACTCTGCGGGTAGCCCGTGACCGCAGGCAGCTCTGTCCTTTCAAAATCGATGGTCTCAGTCCGTTGCCCGTCGTCGTCTTCCTCGCCCTCGTCATTATCGTCGTCGTCCGCCTCGTTTCTCTTCCGCTTTCGCCCAAACGGCAACTTCGACCCCAGCCACCCAAAGAACCCCCTTGCTCGGTTCTCCTCCTCCTCCCTCTCGGCGTCTAGATCCATGCCAATTGCCGCAGCCACCCGCCTCGTCAAGTCCCGCGCAATTACCTGTCTTTTCAGCTCCGTGTCTCCTAGGTGGTATTCCCGCACGACCCTCTTCATCCTATGGTACCCGTAGCTCGGTCCCGACCACAGCCACAGGTACTGCGGCGATGCCGGGTCTTCGCTCGCCGGATCCCACAGCAGTTCCGGGTCCAGCGCGATGCGCGCCTCGTCCACCACTCGCGCCGCCGTTTCCGTTGTCTGCAGGTGCAGCGGCCACCGGTCCCTGTGGAAGAATTGCGGCGCTTCGCCGACAATGGACGGGTGTGCCCAGTCCCAGAGGGCAGCGCTTGCGTTGGAAGTCGCAGTGGCCGGCCACCCGGCGAGCGGCGTCGCTTGACCCGAGGCAGCCTCATCGATCAAACGACTCCGTACAACAGCACGCGCCTGCGTCTCAGTCACCCCGCCGTGGGCAGCCTCAAGTTCCGCAAAGTTGGCTGGGTCCGCCAGCCGAAGGACGTCGGCGAAGCTGGTGGGGATGCCATCGGCCTGGGCTTCGAACAGAGCGCCGCTCTGGTGCAGCAGCGAGTGGTACGTGTTCTGCCATGTGCGGATCGACGCTTGCATGGCGTTTGCCCTGCCATCCCGCCTGTGGCGCAAGTACGGCTCCCATCGCGGACGCTCCACCAGCTCCAGCTCGCGCAATGTCCTGCCGAATCGGTATGCCAAGGCACTGAAAAACTGGCGCACGTTGGGCGGCAGAGCCGTGCTGTCAGTTGCATGGCCGCTGCTCAGCGTCTCGGCCCAACTGACGTCAACATCGATCGAGCGGTTGGGCGCGCCAATGGCCTCGTCCGCACTGGCCGGTGTGGCCTGTGATCTCGTGACCCATGTCGAGTGAATACGGTGCTCGGGATGCACATCCAACAGCGGCCGCTGCACGAACCCGTGCGTCTCTTCGAATGGGTAGTGGACAAACCGGCATCGACCGGCACGGCTGAGGCGCGCTAAAAAGTGCAGCACGTCATAGAGACAGAACTGCGTCTTCTCCGTCGCTTCTGATCGGCCATCGGGGTCACTCGGCACGCCGTTGATGGCCAGCATCAAAACGGTCACGGGAACAGCCGTGTCGGCAGTGCGGAACACTGTCCGGCCAGGGTCATCCAGCAGTGCCTGAAAACGGTGGGCAAATACATGGTACAGTGCACGGCTGCCCTCGTCGAGCGTCTTGTCGTGGACTTCCTCGGCGTTAACGGGATCGACGCTCGTGTCTTCGTCGAGGTGCGGGCCCCGAGGGAGTGCCGCCGACAGTGCTTCGTTGGTCGAGTCGGACAACAGAAACTGCAACCACTGGGCCTCGGTCTCATTGATTCGCCGGACAGGTCGAGGGGTCGAGAATGTGGACTGCGGCTCGAAATCAAAACGTCCCCGCAAGCGGAGCGAGGCGTCCGGGGCATCGCCACGCAACCCTAACTCCACGTATCGGTGAACCTCGGTGAGAAACGGCCGCGGCGCAATATCCAAACGGCGAAGCAGCAGACGGCCGAGTCCGCGGAGAAGCACAAGAAGGCGTCGGTCGCGCTCCATGGGCACGGGTAACGGCAAACGGGTGAACAGGGAGCTATCCTCGTCCTCGTCCTCGTTCTCGTCTTCGTTGCTGTCGGTGGCATCGCCAATGCGTCCCAGACTGTAGGCGCCTTCAAAAGGTGGCAGCGTCGCCCAACCACGTCTATTGCTGTTTGCCGCCTCGGTCGTTTGGCGTGCCTGCTGCATCCAGTGCTGTCGGAACCGGCGATAGCGTCCCATATGGACGGTGAAAGGATGCGTCTCCAGCTGTGCAGCG